CTGTATGGATTCGTTCATGAGTTTGCAAGATTTGTTTAGTTGTAAACTTCTTGTTTCAGGTTTTTACACAAAAATTCCTTTCGGTTCCTTTTTCCACAATTAAAATATTTCAACAGTTATTTTTCTTAATCGGTGTATAATAAATTTAATTTTGTTAAATCAGGACAATAATTAACCAATAATAATATTTAACTAAAAATGAGAATTTTTATATCTAAAAGCAAATTTTTGTATCAAAACTCATATATATAGGCCTATATAAATTTGATTTCTAGAATTAGTTTTTATATTTTATACACTAATATTTTTTCAACCACAGCTAAAATCAGGGACGACATATTAATTAATTAATTAAAGTAAACAATTTCTGTAAAACATTTTAAAAAGGTGTATTTATATCTTCATGGCGTCTCTTTTTATATCTTTGCAGTGGCTCTCTTGCCTCTACTTACATCAATGCTCTTTATTCAAAAATGTAACAAAACAGTATAGCCATTATTCTTCATTTTTTCCATAAACCGTGGAAAATATTTTTTTTTCTAAACTTTGTTTTTCATCCAAAGAACAACTGAAAGTAATAACATATCAATACATGAAATAAATTCTATAAAATTTAATTTTACAAATAAATTTAACATTAAAATTCATTAAAATAATACTACAATAGAGCCTCGTTTATCCGAAAGTCGGTTATCCGAAAGAATTCCAGTCGGCCTAAAGAATCATTTTTATTTGTTTTTACATTTTTCAATGTATTTATTTCGTTTGTAAAACATAAATAAATCATTTTTAACGATACAATAGCCACGATTATTTTAAAAAGTTTACGTTAGGCTTAACATCGACGAAAATTCAACGCGAAGCGACACGCAACGGAGAAAAATTTCAACACGGGATAGTTTAATATATTTTTTCGTACACAATCGGTTATCCGAAAAATAAGTTATCCGAACAACCTCAATCCCCAATTGATTCGGATAAACGACGCTCTACTGTATTTATATTTTTATTCATTCGTATTGTTAAATTGTAAAGTTGTATAATATATTGCGTTCAGAAAAAAGAATAGTCTACTGTATTTTTAAATAAGTTAAATAGTCTACTGTGTTAAGTATACTTCTTTCATAACTCGTTTTCGATAAGAGGAACTCAACGTTGAAACGTTTAAAATTCAAATACTTAAGAATGAAATCGTGGATTTCATTCTTGCAAGATTAAAAACGAGAAGAACGAAATTCAGTTTCTATTTTCTGTATTTTCAGGGCGAGAATTAGCTAAACGGAAAAATAAAAAATAAAACAAACAAATAAAACTTTAAATATCAGACATTCATATTCAATGTATTTTGTACAATGATTAAAATTTCTATTCTCTACGCTAAATCATTTAAAATATATAAATTCTGTTAAGACAGACGGATAGATCACAATGGAAATCTATAGGTTTACATATTTTTTTCAAATTGCAACCCAATAAATTACAGCCCAATAAATTGTTTCTCAACTTTTTAACTCTAAATTGAAATCTTTAACTGAAATAAATATATGATATGATATATAATTTTTCTTGTTTATAAAAACAAAATAAACAAAATTTTCTCATTAATCCATAAATTAAAAGTTTATTATATTTACTTTTCTAACCACCTAAAAGGGGTTTTGGACAAATAAAACTGAATTATGACATTCAGACCCAACTTTCACCGTAGTTCAATTACTCAGAAATTAATTTCAGATGTTTTATTTATATGCATTTCGAATCGAAATCGCTTATCTGTCTTCAGTCTACAGATTATAAAATTGTTTTATAAATTTGCAGTTAAAATTACAACAAAGATATAACATCAATAACATAACTTACAATAGATATAATGCGCGATAGAACCAACACCAACAACCGGTACTCTTCGAAATAAATCACAGGAACAATCATCTTGTTGTTGTTGAATGGAGTGTTCAGCACATGAAGGCTATATACTCCGAAAGAGCGAGGTTTTGAACGCTAGGCGTCCGATGAGCCGGCCTTATAGATGGAATGGCCACACGCGCGCGAGGGAAATAATGCCTTCCGGGAGGACTTTTATGGGAAACTGGCCCCTATATTCAGGCGTCAAACGACGTGGAGAAAACCCGGAAAACTCCACGCATTCAGCCCGTCCGAGCGCGGCGCGAACCCACGACCGAACTCCCATTGTTCAGGGTTAAGTCCAAACAATCATCCTGCATCGCGTAACATCTTTTTATTCTTATACAGTATACGACAGTCATTCCAAACGTCATCTATTAACATCCCGCTATTTAAATCAATCGATTTATCATTATTTTTAATCGCTATATGTTCTTTAAACTTTCTTAAATATACATCATCTTCTATAAAAAAAAATTAATATTATTTTTATCAATTGTACAATTAGTTTCACCGCAATGTAAAAACCAAAGTATTTTTTAACCTGATGTTCATCGTGTTCTTTTATCCTTTCTTCCAATATTCTTCCAGTTTTCCCAATATAATGAACCTGTTTTGTACACGTACTGTACATGACATTTTATATACAACATCTGATTTTTCCAATATGTTTTGTTTCTTTTTATTTTGTTTAGTAAATATATAACCTTTAAGTTTATTTTTAAATTAACTGCTAATTCTAGATTTTTAAAAAATTTCTCAAAATTATTTGTAATATAGAAAACAAATATATGTTTTAATTCTTTTTAAAATTTTATTTTATATCTGTTGTCCTAATATTCTCTCGTCCATTTTTTATAATTCTATTAGGATAGCCACTTAGTAAAATCGTCGTCTTTAATTTTTCTTCCTCCTCTTTTTTAATCTTTCTTCTATCTGTTGTACTGTACGTGTGTGAATTTTGTTTAGTGCAGTAATGAAATTGTTCTGTTTTATATAAAGCGGACAGTATGATTTATAATTTATTGTCAGAGTTGTACAAATTTTTTCATATTTCCTAAAGGTAACTCCTGTATTATTTCTATTTATTGTTATATCTAAGTAATTTATGATCTGCTTTCAAGTTCTATTTCAAATTGAATGTGTTTATTTATATTATTAGCAGAGTTTTGTATTTTTACTTCATCCATTATTTCCGAATAAAAAATTATTAAAATATCATCTACATATTTTACTATAAGGATTATACCTGGTAAAGAAGCCAATATTTTATCTATAGTATTCATACAAAATTCTGCAAGTTTGGATCCTATGACTGAACCCATACTAATGCCATCTTTTTGGCGAAAATACTTATTAACAATTTTGAAATAGTTACTAAAATATGTTAATTTAATCAGTTTTTGGATCCAGCTTTCTATATTTATTATTTTTAGTTTTTTTCTATCATTTTCCATTTTATATTGGGATACATTGAAATTATATCTAGACTTAATAGTTTATAGAAAGGTTTAAACTTATTTTTCTCCAGACGTATGAGTTTTGAATCGGATTTTTAAAATAGATGTTTTACCGTTTGATTGATCCAATATAAATTGTTTTTCTTTCGTCCACAGGCCTTATATCAAATCGCTGAATGTAAAATATGTCTCTCTATTCTCCATATATCATGATGTTGAGTACCCCTTTTAGATGGTTAGAAAAGTAACCAATTACATCTGGCTAATATAGCTAATCATAGCGTCTTATTTATTATATTCACTTGACTGTCACCCACTTTTGAGTCACTGGTAAAAACAAATGGTAAAAACTTAAACATTAAAAATTACGAGGTTTGCCAAAAATTATTAGAGAGATTGTGGCCGAAGTTCAAACGTTAAACGTACACGTTTGACGTTTAAACTTCAAGTAAACCACGTTGCGCCACACGTTCACGTCGTACAGTTGAAGGTTGAAAAGTATCGGGATATTGTTGAAAAAATGGCGGAAATGTTTAACAACGACGAATGTTACCAGCGAAGGTAAATAAACAAACAAAACTTTTTTAAAGTATTTATAGGATGTTTAATAACGTTAAATAATTATTTTTAATTAGGGTCGTGTCTCCTACCGTACAATAGGACGGTAGGAGATATTCATCATACTTTTGTTGAGGGAAGTAGGGCTTATGTAAATCCGAAAGCAATTTGGGAAATTATTTTAAGAAAATTTACAAATGTATTACGCTGCTGATGGTAGAAGATGCCGTGAAAAAACAAACCTACTCCTACAGAATTCTGATAAGCTATCATGAACACAAATATGTGTAAATTGACATCATTTGCAAAAGAATTGAATAATTAAATAATTTCTGAATTAAAATCGTCTGTTTCTTTACAGTATTATTTATAAATGCTTAAATGATCATTATTTTAATAAAATACGTTACAATTTTAACCCCAAACACAAAAAAATGAAGTTTAAACCGATCTTCTACTCACCATGCTAGACGTAGCGAACGCTATTATCAACCTTTTAGAATTGCCAGATGGCGGCGCTCGACGTACGACGTTCACGTTTTGGGCTGAAAACCCAAAACGTGAACGCGGCCGCAACTTCTCTATTATTGGGATGCAATTTGAAAATATTGTAGTTTTTTAAATAAAAAATAACAATAGTACTTGATAAATATTAATGTTTTATTATCGAATAATTTTTAAATTTCTAGTTAAAATAATTGAAATTTAAAATGTAATTAGGTAAAAATTTCCACATTAATTTCGAATATATAAAGTACAGTCATGACTAAAGATGGAATCAATTTTCTCATCTGAGTCTTTTGTTAATTTTCTAAGTTTTAAAGTTTCATTTTTATTTTTGGAATTCAAATATTTAATTTTCAGTATTTAGGGTGGGGTATATATGTATGCCCCGACTGAAGAATACTATAATTTTTGCACAGTTTGTTAGAAATAAGTCGTGTTTGGATGTCCGATACCCTGATAGTTGTCACTCCACAAGTGTTTGACGAACTGAAACATGTTTTGGTCCCAAATTGATAGCTCTGGATGTAACGGAGGAAATGGCTGGAAGTTGGTACGGAAGGGTTTCCTATTAGCCCCGATTTAAACCCCGTGGACTTTGCGATACGGAAGTAACTAAAGATAAAGTTTATGTGTGTTCAATGGAGAACCTGAAGATTCTGCAGGAGCGCTTCAGGGAAAGGAATACGGTAGAGGTCTGACACCGTATTATTGATCATATCCTTAAACAGAAAACATTTTTATAATGAAGACAGGATGGATTCGAATCCATAGTTAGCCAGCGTGGCCTAAATACGTTAAGCGTGGATATCAGCTCGGGCTTTATGTCATCGATAGTCGACATCTTGCCCTATGACTTTTGTACATGACTAACGTTTCGGGTCGAGGTGCGTTTGGCTTGACCTCATCACCCGTACAATGATCATTTAGTCCAGTGTTTCCCAACCTTTTTTGTGCTATGCCCTACCTAAACCTTTCCAAAATTCTTATGCCCCTCTAACATATACAGCGGTTATTCGGTTAACTTAAACTCTGAACGAGTCAATTTTCAAATTGCCACCCTTAACAATCGACCCCCTGTGGGACGTGGGCCCCATGTTGGAAAACACTGATTTAGTCGATATTTCAATACAAATTTTTATTTTAATTACTTTCTAGATGCTGATTTTTTTCGGTTATAGTATTTTCTTTCATATGAAACCTAATTTCTGTAGAATGTGCGTTTTTTTATTTATACAGTAATTTAATTAAATCTTTCTTGTTTAATGTAAAAGATAATTAATTCTCGCCAAAAGATTGATTTTTTCATTTAATAAATATAGTCTTAATAAAATCAACGAATATTAACTCTTTCTAAATTTTATTGTAAATAGCTTTATTCTTTCGGATAAGGAGGTGGAGGGCAAGAAGGAATTATTGGTTCGTTTGAATATCCGCCACGTCCAGTGTGATTATTTAAATGGTTTAAAAGTTCGCGCTTTACGACGTTACTGCCACATCCTTGAGGACAAGGAATTACGATGTAAGGACAGTGTTGTAAATGCTCCTGTAAAAAAATTAGTTTAAATTAGTCTAATATTTTATAAATTATAGTTACATTTTAATATATGTTTATGGAGAATACGTCGTATATTAATCGTTTCTGCTTCGGGAAATAACAGTTATTTTCAACACAAATCATTATTAAAATTTGTAAAATTTAAATTTAAGGTAAACAAATGTTTCCTTTCAAATCGTTTCTTACAAAAGAACTTTGTTTTATAAAATTATTATTCGAAAAAACAGCAGAGAGGAAAAAGAAAGGGTATGGCAAAGCTAGAGAAGAAACAATCTGTATTTCCGTTTGCCTGTTGTAGGAGGACCCCCGTCCTTTGTTACATATAAAATTAACATAATCATGTATTGACACACAGAATTAATCACATCAATAATGATAACGTAGTCGTACGAACCGAATATCTAATGATATAGTCTGTAGAGTTCTAATGCCTGGTACCGAAAATCTTGATGATGCACATTGTTTAATTTTCCGATTTCGGAATGAGATAAATAAATCTCAACGCGTGACCGTCCACAGAAAAGCTAAAGAATAAATGTAATAATGAAAGAAGCTTATAATTCCCGTCTCTTACAGTGCACAGAGTAGAAAGGTTGAAAAGTATCCAGCAATGAATTGTATAACTTTCTCGTCAAAACATTTAAATTTGGCGTGGCACTATCTAGTATGATATTTTACGTTAAAAACTGTTTTATATTAATTATTATGATAAGGCAAAATGCTTAATTTTGAGGGTAGAAACGAATTTTATAAAAGAAAAAAATTGTAAATGCTAATAACGAGTAAAATATTCATTAAGTCTGCCCTACACATAACTCCTCTATCTCGTCACCCCTTAGACATTCATCAAATCACCAAAATTTAAAATCCTAGATTTCCTAATAAGGAAACCTTGATGCAAAATTTCAAAAATTTTCGACAATATGCTCAGGAGTTTTTAAGCTTCAAATTAGATGCACAAAATCGTGCCCCACACATACACTAACATCCATACGTACAGCAAAAACCATTAATTTTTTTTTCATTTTTCAACATTTCAAGGTTCACCGATTCCAAAAATGTAAAAATATTCAGGTATCATTTTTGACTCATCGTCATACCTATTCAATAGCCGGGAAAGTCAAAATAAATACTTATCGTATCTTGAGAGAAGAAACACTATTCTAAGCCGTATGTGTCAACATCAAATGTCGCCATGTATGGGCTGAACTCAAAGATTTAAAAAATAAATATAAGGTTACGTTTCTTACTAATAGATCTAATACAATCATTTGTTATTCATTTTCGCCCGATTATAACAATTTCGATATTATTTATCTCAAATAGATACATTTTCATTAATATAAACCTAGTTTACGTCATTTATTATTTTTATAAACTGTTTTTCTCTATTTAATGTCTTTTACTTTTGTAAGTAAAGATGTTAAATGTTTATCATTTTGTTTTTGTGATTTTTTGCGTCAGAAATTATTTATAAATTCGAAAAATTAAAATTTTCAATACAGAATTATAATTACCTTCAACTTTTTCAGTGGAATATTTAAATTGCACCCAAATGTATATTTGCTGCATTTTACTAATAAATTTCCTAATTTCCTGGACGACAGCTTCGAGATCTGTACTAGCTGTAATTAGTAATATATTAACAATAAAAAAAAATTAAAATCTATTGAAATTTTAATTTTATTTAATAAAAATATATTCTGAAAAGAACTAATGGAGTCGGATAATCTATTTTTTACCGTATTGCACTATTCACTAGTACACGGAAAACTGCTAGTTTTCCATTCGTTTCTGACTTTTGGAGGCTTAATAAATTCCGAGTATGTAGACTGGTATAAAAATTAAAAAAGAGGTAAACAGGTTAACATAAAGAAAAACACTTTTATTTTAGTAAATATACTTCACCCCTTTTTTGCATTGTCACGTAAATAATTGTCAATTGGATATTAATAATGTAAAAATAATATACAAAGAAAAAAATATAGTTAAGAGAAAATTTAAAGAACATTTCGCGATAATTATGCAAAGTAATGTTATGAATTTGAATAATGGAGTGATGCCAGCGGAATGCTGGGAAGAGTTAGTGTCATTTAAGGATTGTAAACGCGATGGTACTAGTGAGAAAGATGTGTCTTTCATGGATGCTAGAGCGTCTTCTGTTGTATCTTTTACTGAGAAAGCTGAGTCGTTTGCGGATTTTGTTCCTGCTATACATTCTGGTTGTGAGAAACCCTACTGATGAGGCCTTAGCAGGCGAAATGCATTTAGGGTGAAGTATATTTATTAAAATAAAAGTGGTTTTCTTTATGTTAACCTGTTTACCTCTTTTTTAATTTTTATACCAGTCTACATACTCGGGATTTATTAAGCCTCCAAAAGTCAGAAACGAATGGAAAACTAGCAGTTTTCCGTGTACTAGTGAATAGTGCAATACGGTAAAAAATTTAATTTTATTCTTTAAAAAAAACATTTAACATAAATTAACGATTCAAATACATATCGATAAAAATAAAGATGTAGCGACGTTCCGTATATCTCGGCAGATAAGACAATAGTTGAATCATAAAAAAAGGCCCTCAAAATCCGGGGTCGTCTTATAGGACAGATACAAAAATTTAGATTGAAATTTATATAAATTAAAAACATTATAAAAACAGACAAACCGTAATTATTTAGTAGAAGAGAGTAGGGTATGTGCACAAAACAGAATAGCCCATACGACGTTTTTGTGAATAGTCAAGGTCATTACCCGAATGCCGAATCAGTGCCAATGTTTGCAACAATTGCAATGCAGTGCTGCCAGATCAAGAAAATAAAATATGTTCATTCGAAAAATTACGAATAGGACATAATTCCTATTCGTAATTTTTCATCATCATCCGGATAATAACGCTATACAGTGTTATTATCCGGATGATGATCGCTGATCTAAATTAAATTCATAGGCCGTTGATAGTTTGGGGGTTGTCTTATAGGACAGATAGGCTTATATACTAAAACTATAAAACTTCGACGAAAATTTATACCTCGTCTTATCTGAAAGTAGTCTTATCTGCCGAGATATACGGTATTTAATTTAATTTAATTTTTTTCTTTTGCATTCTTAGATAGATTCGTTTCTTGCAAATATTTGTATTAAATTAAAAGTTTCTTCATTTATTTCAAATAAAAGATAATTTATAAATAATTTAAAATACAGGATTTGCATAAATGAAAAAAGACAAAAAGATGTGTTGACGAATTCGTAAACACATTTCTTAAACTAATAACGAATGACGAGGCTACTACGGAAAATCTGTAGTTTTTAACTTATTTGTCTCTTGTACCGAATTGTCGTATATTAATAATATGATAATTTAGTAACGGATTTACAGAGCCGTAACAACGGATTTAGAACAGTATTTAGAACAGTATTTTACAGAGCCGAAACAACTTTTTGTTAACAATTCGAGAGGTTTTTAATTGTGCTAATCAATTTAAATTCTTTTATTTAAAATTAATGGTTATTGTTTATGCCAAATATTCAACCGAAGAAAAGATAGTAGATAATTTTGTATATAAAAAACGTAAAAAGAACATTAAACAAGTAGAAAGAAATTCAACGCTTCATTTTACCTTTTTCACCTGTTCACATTCTTCAAATCTAAGATCTTTAGAGCATAAAGAGCAGCGCAGAAATTCCGATTTATCTTTAACCTCTACATCCACGTGAAAGATTGGTCCACAGGATTGGCAACAAAATCCAGGATAATCTTCAAATACAAACATTAATATTCTCAAACCTAATCCCGAGACATTTCTGATCTTGTCTACTCCATCGTCATCGAAATTGTATCTCTATGTAATCGTAAAATTTACCTTTAGCATTTATATAAATAGAACGAACAGTTGTTTTACAATATATTCACTTATTATATAATTTACTTACAATAACAGTTTCGACTTTTGTGTCATTCGTTTTACATTTCTTATCGCTACAAAATATAAAAAATGTAGATGCAATAATAGTTATGCTCTATACATATAAGTATAAACGTCTGATATCAGTTACCTTTTATCTTTATCGAAAGTAAACTTATTGAAAATGTAGATTATACTTAAAAATAGTCCAAACGCAAAGGTAAAGATTAAAACGTCTTCTTCTTCTATATCCAGACTTTTGTAAAACGTTTTCGACATGGCTCCACCAATACAATATAACATCTATTGTTGTGATTTATGTAGGAATATACATCTAAATATATATTTCGTGCAAAATCTATTATCTAAAGATAATTCCTATGACATCAATATGTAATAAAACAATAATATCGTTGTTGAGAAATTCTATTTGAGTTAATCTTATCGAGTCAAATAAACCAGAGCTACGTAAACACTACGCATTTTATTTTTAGTAAAATTCACTCGTTTAAATTAATAATTAAAGATTTATTTATTTATTTTTTTTTAGAATTTTATTCAAGTATTTACTATTTTATTTATATAAATTATTAGGATTTGCATCGATTAATTTAAAATACATTTTAATAAGTCATTTTAAATCTGTTAAAGAGATTAAAATAATTGAAGGTTTGTTAATTTCAAATATATTAAATGTTTTCTTTGAGAAATTCATATTTATTCATAATTAACTTAGATTTAAAATTTTTATTTATATTTGAATTGATGCTAAACGCTAAACTATCTGCTTTGTTATAGTGATAAAAGAAGGCTAATTTAATATTTAAACGTAATTTTAGAGGTAAACGATTAGGCTGTCACTTAATGATAATTTTCATAATTATAATAAATTATTTTTAATTTCGGATATCCAGAAGAAAAAAATTACAAAATATAATTTATTTAAACACAAAAATTAAATATAAATTAATACTTAAATTTGAACTTTTAAATAAACAGTATGAAGTATAATAAATTAAATTACAAGTACAAGTATTTAACCTTCATATTATAATAAATTACATACAAGTATTTAACCTTCGTATTTCGTGATTCATCTTCTAGGTTTTAAGAAGGCGTGAAATCGCTTAAAGCCACTTGACTTTTGCGTACGTTAAATAGCGATTTCAAAATGAAAATTAACACTAAAACTATCTTATTGTAAGCAGTAATTAACTAGTAAAAGTTATAATTCGTAACTGGATTATAAATCAATCGATACAAAAGTCGAGTTTTGACGTCTTTTCCTCGCTCTGTGACGACGACTTTTGTTTCATGACATAAAATGGTAAAATGGTCGTAAAATCGAGGAAATCGTCGATACAGATGCAAAGTGATTTTAATTCTATAGCTATTTCGATTTTTCGATATCGCGTTACACGAGAATGCTTATAACGAGGGTATCTGCTTTTTCTATTTTATAATTAAGTTTCGTGACTTTTAACAAACAAATTTTTTAAAAAATGATTCTTGTCGTTAAAATGATTCAGTTAAGTTGAATTTATTATAATCCAGATGTAATTCTTATTCGATTCATACAAGGGTTATGAAGGATCATTATCTTTGTAATAATTCAAAGAGTGGATTACCTTGTACGAATTCTTATGCCATTTATATAAAGAAATTCATTCTTTGAATCATGAACAAACTAAATTCGTTATCAAAATGTGAAAATTGACACAATTGGGTTCTATACAAAGTTTTAAGATTTTGTAACTGTTGTTAAGATCTATTCGAAGAACATTGTTCTGGCGTTCAAATATCAGGGAAATGTCTGCCATAAAAATTGTATCCTTCGAACTAATCTGTACAATTGACGCGTTTCCAATTTTATCTTCGTTTAATACGACAATATCACGCGAGATAAATCGGCAATGCCGTATACGGCAGTACGAATTACTTTCTGAACGTCATTTTCGACGTAAGAAGGGATATTTTAATCGCATGAATTTTATTTAAAAATTATAAGTAATATGCTGTCTGTTCGTACAGACATTTTTATACACCTGTACGAGCATGTTTATATACCTGTATCTATCTCTACGGTCTACTCGTCCACACCGAGAACGCTCTTACTTTTTCAATAATGAATCTTAACGAAAATTTTAATCCGTATATTCCTATGAAAAGTATAAACGGGAAGACAACAATAAAATTTGTAGAAGTTTATAAATAAAACGATTAAATTAGAAAAATATAAATAGTAAAACATGCTCAGATGTTACATTTGGTTCTATAGAGAGCATTGCCGAAATGGTTTAATTTAACCTCTAAATAAATAGAATGTTCTTTGGTGATTACCATACGTTTTTATTTTCATTTTTCGTTTACGCTCGAAAATTGCTTATTATTTTAGATAAAAGATGATGATATTTTTGTCGGGTCGATAGGTTTAATGCTTTTTCAAATTTATCGCAGTTAACAAAACCGAATCTTAGATATTTAAATAAAAATAACAAGCATCGTATTATAACAATTAAAATATTTAATAGTTCGTAAGTAAATGCGAAAGTATAAAACTCAACGTAATCCAGAAAATTACAATCGAATCCCAGCAGAAAAATTTAACAAATTACGTTGCTGACAAAATGCTCTTTTATCCGCCGTTTGTGTGAAAATTATGGGCTTTGCTATTAAAAAAATGTAACAGCGAACGGCAGTAAGTATTCGCGTTTCTCATAAACTTATAGAGAGCGCTGCATTTTTATAAATCGGCTTCTTTATCTGAGTCGCTTGTAGCTAAACGTAAAATTCATCATATATTTATATACTAGCTTATCCGTCGCGAATTGCTGCGATCTCAGAAGAAAGGAAATTCAAGCAAACTCATTATGATAAAATTCAATTTACATTTTATCATTTTTATTGAAACTTATTATTATTATTCATTTTCATCGGGAAAACATTTCAAAGTATCGTTTCAATTCTATTTATTTATTGGAGTGCTTGTGGATACACGATATTTTTTGTTTTTCCGTCTGGTGGGTATACAAATACAGTGGAACCTCGGTATACGACCTTAATCCGTTCCCGATGTTTGGACTTATACCGAATTGGACGTATACCAAACCAACCTTTCCCATAAGAAGTAATGTAAAAACGATTAATCCGTTCTCGTGTAAAAAAATGGCTGGCTTTAAACACCTCGCTTTCCTGGCTAGTTCCTGCTTGATTTTTCGTGAGATCAGCGTGTATCTTTTTAGCTTTCTCGCAAATAATTGCTTCCGATACGCTGTCTCCAGCACTGTTTTTCAGTTATCCAAAGCAAAAGCAATTTCTCGACATGATCTAATGTCTTCGATCTCTGTTTAGAAATTGATTTAACCCCTTTCGCAACGTTAGCAGATTTAATAATGTCTTTATTTTTCGCGATTGTCCATATCGTCGTTCTCGGAATACGGTAAACAACAGTTAAAATCTCGAACACGCGTGCCACCTTCGTATTTCTCAACAATCTCTTTCATCAGTTCCATTGTAATTCTAGTCATTTTTTTAGTTTTCTGTCGCTTTTCATTTGCCTTTTTGCGATTCGTGATTAATAAAAATAATAAAATTTTACTTACGAATTAAAATCAGAAGAAATTTAACATAGTTATAAACCGTTGCACCGCGAACGTCTAGTCTGGTCTAGTACACCGATAGTGCTACTTGTTCATTGATGGCGCGTATAATTAATTGAATTATGTCGTATACCGAATAAAAGTCGTATACCGAGCAAAATTTGTTTCGTCCAAACAGGACGTATTCCGAATTGGACGTATTCTAAAGCAGACGTATACCGAGGTACCACTGTATATCAGAAGGTTTTCCAACGCGTGAGCTGGCCACATACAGTTGTCCATGCGAGAAGCACGGGTAGTTGTTTGGGGTACAGTTAAGGTTTTAACGAAGTTCAAGCGAATACATAATTAGCAAAACAAAATTGAAATAAAGTGATTAAACAAAAATTATTACAAATATCTTAAATAACAGTTCACAAATGCATACATAGAAATATTTTTGCAGGGGGGAAATGGTCTTCGCAATTTAAAATCGATCGAACACACAGTGATATGCTCATATAAACGCACGCCATCTATCGTAGGATAATTGTACTATGCCAGAAACCTTCGCGGGAGTATATTAAACAACTTCCCAAAGTTTCACGGCAATCGGATAAACGGTGTGGTAATGCATGAAGGACATACAGACAGACACACAGACAGACATACATTCATTTTTATATATATAGATTAAAAATATAAACTTTGATAAAACTACAATAAAAACCGTTCTTATTCTTTTTATCCGAGGTGAACTCTAAAATAAGAATAAAGTGATTTAAAAAAAACATTAAAATCTTTACGTTATTCTCCCTTTACTATATAAGAAAACAGAAACAGAATAACAAAGTAACGATTTTAAAGTTTTAATTAACTAATTTAAAAAAAACAGTTTATTGTTATTTTAAGGTTCACCTCGGATAAAAAGTCGGGAGAGTAAAATGATATACCAACGGCTTTTATCGTAGTTTTATCAAAGTTTATATTTTTAATATGTTTTAAATAAATACTTGACTTTGGTAAATTAAAAAAAAAATAAAAAAAAACAGATTAAATCTATTAAGAATGAAGTTTCTTAGTTATACAGTATATTACTGTCCGATGTAATGATATATGCTGCTTGTAGCTGTTTATCGAGAAATTTAATATATAAACAATTATTACCGGCGGAACGTGTCATTTTCTGTAGTATTGTCGAAACAAATGAGCGAGATCGTTCTATATATATTTTGTGCTTTCTTGTTCGAACATCAGCTTGGACATTGTCCCACACAAAATTACTGGCATTTCAAACTTAAGAAAATATCTTATAAAATTGATAGCATTTCTGGTTCGTGTAAAGCTGGACGATCGGAAACTTTTTACCAATTCTTAACGGTCGAATCCACTCTCTGTCGGCTACACTTACAAGCTTTCCGAATTCTGATTAAGAAGAATTATTTGAAAAAATAATCTTTTTTCATGTGGGAATAGATGAAAACTTATATCGGCTCCCGTGTGGCTTTAAAATTGCAATTTGAAATGCAACAGAAAGCTTTGCTTTTCCTATTCCTATTCGTCTTTACTGCTGACAATTATTTAACATAAGAGAAAATGTCCGTAACACCAAACACCAACGATTCCCACAACGAAATCAATTGCCAAAAATTTTTACGTAATTGCAACATTTTTTTATATTAAACGAGTAAAATAAAGTATGCGACGATATTAAATGGAGTTACGAAAAAATTGACGTACAGAAGTGTAATTAAGAATACTGTACTGAATCCTGTAAAA